AAAAAAAAAAAAAAACATAGTTACTATTATTTATCTCGCCAATAGAAACTGTCTCAAAGCAAGTTTGTCATTTTGCTGAATCTAAACCGGCCCGGGAAAGACTAAAAGATTAAAGACCGGTTAAATAAACCTGCGATCCCGGATTTGTACTGGCCCGACGGCTCAGGTCCGGTTCGGGATACTAAAGAAAAAAAAAAAAGAATAAATAATTCAAATAAAAAAAATACCATCAGATGTGTTGAACAACATGAACCTAAACCGGCAGTTTCATTTTTTTAAAAAAGCATGAACCTAAACCGGCCCGTGTAAAACCAATGGCCAAGCCCGCATTAAACAATTTTGACTGGGCCAGTTCGAACCATGGCCTCGTCTAAAGGTCAATTCGTGTGGTTAGCTATCAACAGAAAAGAATAAGGTAAAATTGTACACATTTGTATTCTTGACAGATAATCTAATGTTGTACTTATCAAGATAACCAAATGTTAGTATTAAACATGTTCTATCCAAGATTCCAAATTATTATAAACAGTTCAAGTTAAATACTATCCCATCCCACAAAAGTAATCCTAACTAATCCAGGAAAGCAAATGAAGTCTAAGTACTAGGATCGGCAAAATGGCAACTCAAGTCCAAACTCGGCAAACATTGCAGATATACTGTAGTACTAACTTGAACTTCAAATTGAAGTTAATATCTCATGCCAAGAAAGCTGTGACCAACTCTAATTGCATGTGCATCCTAATAAGTGACATGAAACTCTGACCACCTTGTCCTAAATTTGAAACCAATTGAAAATTAGCATGCATGCATAAAACAACAAAATATAGAACACAAAGAACAAGCTCTTTTAGTCACATAAAATACGAAGGTGACTGCGTTATGGGATATATTTTACTCACGCAAAATCGCCATCGATCCAAATTAAAACACAATACCAACAGCACCTAGCACGAACTAATACAAATGTTAAATATATTAGGGGACTGCTAACATCCGCACACGACTGAACACCGCACCTAAACTCGAACACCAAACCAACACTAAATAAAATGCAGAAAGTTTAAATTAAAAACAAGTCACGATAAAAAGCTGCACAACTAGATGCAACTGAAAGTTCACCTTTTTCGCTTCTTTCCACTCTTGGCCCCACTTTCCCGTGATTTCGCAGAATCCACAGATTTCCCTTTGGCCGATTCTGATGATTTCACCAAGTCAGCAAGTTTTTCCTTCTTCACATCAGTTTCTTTCGCCTTTGATGAACTAGTTTTTGTCATTTTGGCACCACCACCATCACTAAAGGCTTTTCCACTTTGAGGGGTTTTACCTTTTGACTTAACAGTTTTTTGACTGTCTTGTTTAGGGTGGCTTGGGGTCTTTGCAGACTCTTCTTTGGTCTTACCACTGGAAGATTTACCAGATTCGTCTTTGGTTTTACCACCAGATGCTTTACCAGATTCGTCTTTGGTTTTACCACCGGATACTTTACCTTGAGACTTTACCTTAATGGATTCATCTGCGGCCTTTTTGCCGGGCTTTGACTTGCTATCTTTGGCGTCAGATTCAGGCTTGACTTGATCCTTCGATTTGCCCCCGGATTTTGTTGGAGTGTCTTTCAGTTTACTGAAAAATGCAATTTGTCATTCTTACTAATTCACCCTCATGTCCCCAAAATCACAAGTACTGGGAGCAACCATAAAGAAACAAACCTTTTTGGTGTACTGTCCACCTTTTGACGTTTGCTTTTTGATGCTTCTGAATCTGTATTGCCTTTCTTCTTCTTTTGCCTGGTTAAAGGAAACAAAGCCATTAGCAATACCCTACAAAGATTCTATGTCTTTCTCCAACAATAAGAACCGTAAACCGTGAAAGACTACCCATAACACATATTCACAACATGCAAAGTGCTGCGTGGACATGAAAATAACAATATAGTTTCACATCATAGATGTGAACATGGTTCAGTTGATGATTTCACTTGATAAAATGTGTTTAAAAATAAGATTTTGCCGCATGAATTGTGTACAAGTGCATGTCGACCCATATGTCATCCTACGAAACAAGCAACAAATCTATAGAGTGGACGAGTAAACATGTCATATCAGCTAGAGTGAGCTTACCTCTTAACTACAGAATCAATCAAGTACTACACTCAGATATCTCAAGCTTACAATCAGTGTCACAAATAACAATACCGTAACATGTCAGTTCAATGATTACCACCATCGAAGGCTAATAAAAATCCGGGCCTAACAACCGATGCTCGTCTGTAAGTAATAGATCTCAAATTCTAAATAAATGCTATTTTGTGTTTTTAAAACATAAATTACATAATTGCTTTCTGGTTTCAAAGGAATGAATTAGAAGAGAGTATTGAGTATAGCAACTCACATTTCAGATAAAGTATCATGGCTCGAATGTTCAGCATCATCATCCTGTTTACATTTATTGTTAGCAGCAAATAATGTACATAAAATAAAGACGGCATCCCAAACAAGAACCAGTAAGTTACATACCCCATCTGAAACCATGTCATCTTTTATAGGTTCCCACCTTTCTCGACCAAAATTTAGTATTTCTTCATCACCATCATTATACAAGACCTACGTAAGATCACAACATTATCAAACAACATTTTTTAAATGCAAAATGAACAGCATTAGCAACAACCAAAAAAAAAAGATTAAGCTTTTGCACTGACCTTATGCCTTTTCTTGACAGAATCAAAAGATTCGACTACACCTTCATAAAACCTGGCAATAACACCACATAAGCCAGCAAATAGTCACAATTTCTTATCACCTTTCTGTACAATATGAAGTGTAAGAACCACTTACATCTTATCTTTTGGCCACCATACTCTAACTTTCGAGCCAACCAACTCCTTGCCATACACAATTTTACCAGATGTCTGGAAAGCATAATATAACAAACAGAAAAAGGTGCATCATATACTAGCTAGAAAGTGTGACGGATTTAACTTGTTTGGATGCAAATGCAGCTTCTTGTCTTTTGCTAGAGTCCGTTATAAAGTGGATTGTCCCCCTTCCCCCACTTAGAGAAGAGGAGAGGAGAAAGAGGGAGGTACAGTCGGATGAAACTTCAACAAGAAATGCAAAAATCAGATTCTGAACAAATGTCAGCCAGAATTTTAATCGAATGTAAAGTTGATAATGGATGGTGACACTAATTCGTTGTACTTACACCAGCTCTAATTTTACACATTAAAATACAATCAACATTGGTAAACTCCAACCCACTCCTTTAGTCCTTTTATTGAGAAATAAAACACACACACACACACACACACACACTGATTATCGACATAAACTCAAAGTCTGCTCAATTGTAAAAAGAGCACCAGATGTAAATATTAACAAGGTGTCTCAGTTTTAGTTTCAGCCAGGAATCACTGATAACTGTCCAGTATTATTAGATTTGTGCTTTTATGCATCCAGGGATGCCGTAATCACATTTCGAAGCCGACAATAATGGTTTGTTGATTAAATAATGGCATAACATCTTCAAACCAATATTTTCAAACTATTAAGCAAGCAAACTGAAACGACTTGCAAGAAAATTCTTATACAAGAAAAATCTTGCAAGTTTGTAGACAAGTTGAGAACAATAAGAGAACATGATAAGTGGTAGGATAACTGAGAAAAGAAGAAAATTTAAAGAAACAGATGATCAAATGTTTATCCAAGTTGCCAAAATTACGTGTTTATAGTCATGAAAAGACTACTTCCATCTTCAATTAAGCTAACAGTGTGTGGCATTCACGGAGTACAAGTGAAAAGTTACAGTTGTAGGTTCCATTATTAGTTATTCAATAAATCAATCAACAAGCCGAAAAATCCCACTAAGTGGGGTTGGCTATATGGATCACATGTTGCCGTTTATTAGTTATTAAAAGTAAGAAATGCTGGAATAAAAGAAAACCTATATCTAGCATGAAAGATAAATAGTGCAAGAAATTAACTCAAAGTGCATACTTTCTCTGTGCCGGGAGTTCGCTTTCTCTTGGAAACAGTTCTTGGAGTTTCTACCTCAGTGTCTTCATCTTTTGATGACTTTAAGGGTGACCTAGGTGAAGTCACTTTGTCCTACCAAAAAAGACCACACGGGAACATAAGACATACAGAAGAATAAAAAATTCGGAAAAAGTAACCAATCTAAATGAACATTTCAGGAAGAATATTGAATTACTTCCGCAGGAACTTCTTTTGCAGAAGATTTTAGAGCATCTTTTCCTGAGGTAAGCTTCACACGCCCATTCTTTTTGCCATCTCCCTTGGTCATGGAGGACAAATCCTCCGTCTTATTATTAGCATTCTTTTTGCCAACTCCCTTAGTCATGGAGGACAAATCCTCCGTCTTATTATTAGCATTCTTTTTGCCAACTCCCTTAGTCATGGAGGACAAATCATCCGTCTTATTATTAGCATTCTTTTTGCCATCTCCCTTAGTCATGGAGGACAAATCCTCCGTCTTATTATTAGCATCCCCCAGCTTTTGAGCCTGGTCCGGTGATCGTGCCTCTGAATCACTTGTACTGCCTTTGTTCTTGGATGCACCCCCTCCAGTCAATTCTTTGTCCTTCATAGTTTTCTTTCCAGATTGCTTTTTGCTGCCCCGCTTTTTCTTCCTTGATTTAGAAACACTTTTTCCTGCAGATGCCTTCTTAGAAGTAATATCACCCGATGCTTTCCCTTCTTTTACCAAATTCTCCTCCCCTTTAGCCGGACTATGTTTTTTGGATTTGCTCTCATCAGAAAGGCTTACGCTATGGGCTGGAGATGCAACAACTACAGCCTCATTTTCGGTTGAAAGCTGATTTGTGGCATCCTCCTCTACTTTGTCCAAAGAGTCGGCTGCTTCAACAGGTTCAGAGTCGGGAACAGGCTCAGCGTCGGAAGCAGGCTCAGCATCGGAAGCAGGCTCAGCATCGGAAGCAGGCTCAGCATCGGAAGCAGGCTCAGCGTCGGGAGCAGGCTCAGCGTCGGGAGCAGGCTCAGCGTCGGGAGCAGGCTCAGCGTCGGCAACAGGCTCAGCCTCGGCAGCAGGCTCAGCCTCGGGAGCAGGCTCAGCCTCGGGAGCAGGCTCAGCCTCGGGAGCAGGCTCAGCCTCGGGAGCAGGCTCAGCCTCGGGAGCAGGCTCAGCCTTGGGAGCAGGCTCAGCCTCGGGAGCAGGTTCAGCCTCGGGAGCAGGTTCAGCCTCGGGAGCAGGTTCATCCTCGGGGGCAGGTTCAGCCTCGGTAGCAGCTTCAGCCTCGGTAGCAGGTTCAGTCTCAGTAGCAGAAATAGGGACATCTTCACTAGGAATTTCATCATTGGATGCTGCCTCTTGCGCTTCTGCGTGCACTGCATTGGCTTCCAACTTGTCTGAATTTTGAGCACGGCCGTCATCAGACTCGGTTTTGGACTCCAATTTGGCATCAACCTTATGGTCAGAATCAGCCTCCTTTGAAGAATTTGCATCTGCCATAGTTTCTTCAGTACAAGTCATCTCATTGATACCATTACTAACAACTGACTTTTTCGATCCAACCATAGTGGGATCTTGCTCTTGAGAATCAGTACATTCTCCACCTCCCTTAACCACCTGCATAGGTAACTAATTCTTAATGCCCATATTCAAAAAAACAAAAAAAAAAAAAGGAAAATATGGCAAGGTAACTGAAAAGGCATAGCTAGTGTGCATTTTAGGCACAAAATATATGAACTAATTATAAAAAGTAAAAAAAAAAAAATAAGTTAACTGATCCTCGAGTTGAATAGAAGAAACCTAATTATCATATTGAAAGAACTTTCTCCTGTCCTGTGAATGCTCATGCACACGGAAGGGAAGAAATGGAAAAACAAAGAAAAATCATAGGATTTGAGAGTCGGACAATGTGCTTGTTTTCTCATCAAACCAATAGATAACCATAAGAGATATCCATGCACTACATTTCAGAATTTTATCTAAGAACTATAACAGCAACATGCCTGAGTCACTTGATCCCGAACTGGAGAGGCACTACTGGACTTCCTCTCATTAACCTGGAAAACATTACCACAGTGATCAAGGTTTACCACCAAAATTTGGCAGAAATATTAAACTCAAAGATTCAAAAGCAAGGATATACATGATATGAGGAACTTTATAAAATTAAGGAACCAAATTCAGACAAGCATAGGGCCTCCAGAACTTACAGTGTTAGGAAATAGTAACTATAGTATGACATACCACAAATACATGGAATAATAAAATATGTGGACTATCCCGACGAGCTGGCAGATGATCAAGATGGACATATACCTGTGGGTCTTTTGAGATGCTCTTGTTACTATTTCCAATTTTAACAATATTGTCTCTGCACAAGGAAGCTACAACTTCTCCATAATCATCCGCCGATGAATCTAAAGATTTCACCACCTGTGCTAAATAAGGTCTAAGTTTGTCGGATGAACTTTCAATAACTCTCTCAGCCAGTTTCTTCGCGATTGGCAGAACATTCTGTAACATATTTTTTTGTCAGCAACAAGTAGAACACAAACGGGAGAAAAGAAGCAAAAAGATCTTCAAACCATGCCTAATATAACAACCTCGTTCTTTTTCAAGGTAGACAAAATTGGATTGAGTAAATCTGCGGAGATGTCTTCACTTTCTTCCAAAACTAGAGTCATTATAGTCTCCATGGATGTAAAGATGGCTTCCTTATGATAATCTCTGAAAATAGTGTAATAGGAAAACATTACTGATGATGGAATAAATCTAAAGCACGTGAACCATTAGAAACTAGATGCTCCAACATTATGAGTTACTTATGCACTCATATTCATTAGAAAAATGATATAAGAATTTTTTAAATTAATCCAAAGGCTTCATTAGTGTTGCTACAACAATCAGATTGCAATGTATAAAGATCAATGCAAATAAATCAATGAGTAACAAAAGAATAATGCCTGTGTTAACATTTATCACTTCGAAGTAGTATATATAACTCAGATAAGGCATGATATGTGTCAGTCTGCGCAGATTAAAGCGGGCTGAATGATCGCCCCTATATAATTATTCCGCTAAAACAAATAGAAAGAGCAAAAGATTAACATGATTTCACATAATAATAGACAACAATTTATATGACTTTTTTTTTAGGGACCGGAGATACCATAGGCTAAAGATGGTAACCAACTGGTAATATGAACTCTTACCTAATGGCTTTCAGAAAGTGCTGGAACATCTCAATGATCATCTGATCACATTCTAAATCCAGCATGATCACACAAGACCTGACTTTGGCCACAATATCAAGTATGGTGGCCCTTTTTCCATATGATCTGCTGGATATATCGGACAAATCCTCAAATGATGACACAATCAATTGAAAAACATCCTGAAACCATATGAAATGTCAAATAACTTTAAAATGAGTGGACTCTGACACACACACAGAGGGAAAACGGGGTGGGG